CCGTGTATTGTCAGCATCTGTAAATCCCTTCCACTTCAGAAAATACTCCACCTTCCCATTCACTACACGACGACGGTCCAGTACTTTTTCTACCACAAATTCTTCAGGCTCTGCTTCCTCAACTTTTTTACTTTTTCCATTTTGTTTCTTTCCCATTTTTTGCAATGTAGTTTTATTGTAGGCCATTTTTTATTGCGGACTTGCAGAGCTATTCACCGCTTGGGATGCTCACGTCGTGGGTCCTCAGGGTCTTGGCCTGCGGGCCTACAGCCGCACTCACATCTGAGGAAAGGGGGCCAGGGTGCTTTGCAGGCTGGGGATGGGGGATGATGCTGCCCACACCTGGCGGCTGTGAGGGGTGGGGCATGGGGGAGGGAATTACAAAATATTTAACTTCATTATACTTTTTATTATAATAGTTTGTAGATTGTCTTTGCTCATTGCAAATTTTTATATACAGAGACTGTCTTTCATCCTTGTATTCCAAAAGCCTACCATACTGTTTAGCAGAAAATAGGGTTTTAACAGATGTTGTCCATTTGATGGTTTTATTACAGCCAATTTAGAATTATATAATCAAATTATATATTGAATATTAAGAATGGCCTTTTCATTTTGATTGTAATAAAATGAAAGTGAATTATGAATCTGAACTTTCCCCCATACTCTTTTTTAGAAGGAAAAGAAATCTCAAATGTGTCCTGCCCAAAGATGGGCTTCAAAATAATGTTCCAGTTGTTGTAACCTTTGCTACCTTGTGTGTGCCATGGTGTTTCTCCTCTTTGATGCATGTTTGCCATCCCAGCCTCAGAGCCAGCCAATTATGGACTGAAACCTCTACCAACTTCCTTTGGTAGAATATGAACAGGAAGAAATTTTCAAACTTGGACTAGGACATCTCAAGAAGGAAGAGGCAGAAATCCAGGCAGAACTTGAACATTTGCAAAGAGTCAGAAATCTTCACATATGGGAACTCAAAAGAATAAACAATGAAGATAATTCATGGTTCAAAGATCACCCAATGTTAAATGAAACATATTTATTACTTCATCTGCTTGGAAGAGGTGGCTTTACGTTCCCAGTGCACAAGAGGAGGCTTCCGGGCCACCGTAGCCACCTGGAAGCACAGAGGAGGTGAGCCGCTCCCAGCACACAAGAGGAGGCTTCCAGGCTGCCGTACCCCCCCCCCATGAGCACAGAGGAAGTGAGCCATTCCCAGTGCACAAGAGGAGGCTTCTGGGCCACCGGACTCCCCACCCTCCACGAGCACAGGTGCCAGCAGCCCCTGCTCCTGTTGAAATGAGAAGACATGTAAACAAGTTTCAAAACTAGACTTCCAGATCACCTAAAGCAACCCCAAAGGGAAACAAGGTGGAACACTCTGATACTCAACCACCTGGACTCCCTGAACTGGCAACAAAAGAGGATCTGGAAAAAATGAAATCAGAAATAATTTCTCAGATAGCAAC